TACATAAGGAAAATAAACCTTCATTATTGTTCCAGTTTTTATTATTATTTTTAATGTCATCTGTATAAAAATATATTTTATTTAACTTTTCTTCAACTGGATAATGTTCCGAGTGAATGGCTTTCGTTTGCTTTTAAAACCTTCATAGAAATAATTTTTCTGATATCGAAACGGCCTCAAAGCGCAATAAAACTCATCATAAAGTATTTTATTTCATTTCATTGTAAAGATGGATACGTGATATGAATTTCATACTTACCGTATATTTTTATAGAAAAGTCAATCTTTCATAGACCACATAAAGCTAATCTTAGAGCGCGGCCCACCTTTAACTAAACTATCGCACAACTGTTTTGTCGCGCTTTGATTTCTATGAGTTTATATGGAGGCCCGCGCAGTTCTCAGTTTTTAGTCGTGCGACTTAACGGTCTTGCGACTTAACAGTTTTGCGATAGTTTAGTCAAGGATATGCGCCCGCTCTTAAAGCGCTTGTTAGCAGTTTCCAGAAGTAACTTACTATAAATATTTAACTTAGTTCGTTACAAGGTTAAACGTTTTAATATGATTTTTTTATTCACACAAAGTGATGTTAAAACAGAAATATGTAATGTATTATTGCTTTAAAAGACCTTGTTAAAAAAAAAAGGATTTGCATTGCGTAATTTTGTTTAAGACGGCTGTAAGAATCACTTTGTATGACTTCTGTGTGGAAGTTGAAATATAATGTAAAATACTATTATTATTGCTATAAAGTCATTGCTGTGGTTTTTATGGCCAAATAAAGAATAACTTTATGATTTTTCCCATTTTATTGGTATTTATGGCTGTTTTGATTTTGTTAACGCTTTTAAACGTATGGACATGTTCGAAAACTATGGTATGTTTCCACGGTAGACGGAATCACGAATAGAAAATGACTAAAGTGAGTGATGTACTGTGGAAACAGTTTCGATTTTCGTTAGTGTCCTGGAGCCTTCCACAAGAACGTATTCAAAATTATTATGAAATTTGGCTGGTCTACTTTACTCGTATCGTGTTGCTGCTTACACTTTCGCGCTATGTGTCCATATCCATGTGTCGAACCCGCCTTGATTTGGTAACACGGTTACATAGAAGTAGAGATAACTACATTTCACGACAATTTTAATATCTAAGAAGAGAAGAAGGCCTAAGAAGGGAGACTTTCTTAGGGAACTAAATAAAAAAAATTGTCAATGCCTGTCAGTTGTGCCGTTAAATCTATTATTATTGAATATGCAAAAACAACTAAACAATCATGAAAAATATTATTTAACGTTACGTTAGCTCACAATAATGCTATAGTCAATTTCTTTTCGATTCAAAACGATGAGATTAAATATTTGAGCATCAAGTTGATACATATTCCAGAGTTTTATTGGCAATAAACTTGCTCGTGATAGCATCGTTTTATGAAATATGAATTTCTTTTGCGAGAAACAATGTAAATATAAACTGAGGAAGTTCGAACTTTGAATTTGATGTCTGCAGAAATGTATTCGTGAATATTAACTATTTTAATCCGTCAGGATTTAAATTATAGTTTTCTGAATATGTAATTCCTAAAATTAAAAAGTTTTTTTTATAAATTTAGCATGTATTTTGTCTCATTTATTTAATTAACTTTTGCCATAGAATACTCTTGAAGTACACATCAATGTCTACCTTTTATTTATATTTGTTATAACAACTTGTTACAGCAGCCTCAATACTTAATTAAGCGCCTTATAAAAATAATATTTTATATACCAAATACATTATGAGTTGAAGACAAGTTAAATGTATGACTTATGACGAAAGGAAAGTTAATAGAAGCCAAATTTTTCCCGGAAACTTCGCCGCTAAGTTAACGCAGACCCAAATATGATATAACTTTTTTCGTTAAGGGAAAATTTTGAATACACATTGCTTGATAGTGTTTATATATATAAACTTGCTGAAGTTTTATTTATTTGAATGTAATTGTATCTTTATCACATTAGTGAAATCATTAATTGTTTTGAAACTTTACGTAAAAGTCCAATTTAATAAGCATTTAGCGCCTATCAAATTCTTATAGCAAATTGTCGTCTATTTACTTTAGCAAAGCAATTAAAATATATTATACTGTAATAGCTTCGCCGCGACTCCGTCCGCGTGGAATAAAAAAGACAAAAAGTGAGTAGCCTACATATGTGTTATTCCAGACTATCATCTACGTCTATACTAAATTTCATTGCAATCCGTTCAGCCGTTTTGGCTACAAACTCTAACATCCATCCATCCATCCATCTAAACTTTCACTTTTATAATATAAGTATGATTAATTCTGTACTATGACAGTAATACAGTTTTCACTTTGTTTATAGTGTTTAAGCTAGTCTAATCTAAGTAATTTTATATTTACGAATATACTTTTATAAGGTTCATTTAATTTCTGTTTTGAGGTTACTAAGCAAAACATGTTTTAGTAAGTAGAAATGCATCAAGTAGTTTCTGTATTTGTTACTTATTATATTCCGAAACAACTATTTATTATTCGTTTGCCCATTATAATACAGTATAGTGTCGTTTTATGGCTTGAAATGTTACCAGTCCACGACAAAGTACTGCAGGGACACGCTACGCCAGTGTGACGTGGCGGGAAAATAAAGCCAACAGGACATCTGCTCGGAATGTAATTTAATCCACTCCGAGAGAATTGATGTGTAATATAAAACATTTGATTGTATCCCTTTGTTATGTTGTTTATTAATACACGAGCTGTTCCCGTGAAATTATAAAAAACTTTATTTTATTGTTCACATTTTTCAAATTCTCATTTACAAATGTAAGCGTCCTCTTTTCAGGTAGACCGAAGACTTAGTGCGCACGTGGGAAACAGTTGGATGCGAACGGTTAAGGACCGTATTCAAAAAAAACGGTGATTTCTGACATCCAGTGGCAGGAAGCGTACGTTTACGTGTAGATATAGAAGTACAGAAGATATAATTACAAGTACAAATGACTGTTCACCAATGGAGGACCGCATTCAGTGAAAGGTATTGCGGAAGGAGTATGTCCAACCATTGGCAGATAAAAGCTTATGATGTTGATGATAATTTAGGGATGTCCCAGTTAGTACCAGCCTAATCACTTTTCTCTAGCATTTACTAAAATAAAAATTCAATGGCATATGCAAAAATGTCACGAGATTTAAGCACATTTTTTGTTGCACTTGTATATATCATTAAGTTCAGTAATAGGTTGTTAAAATACGTTATTTCTGAAAATTACGTTACCCGTAAGAGATTTCACGAGCCGCAGCCAGCCGTCTCTCATTGCGGTCTGAGAGGCGAAGTTACCCACTCAGCAAGGCGAAAATGGCTTTGTTCTAAAAGTCCACTCGAGACTTCTTTTCAATATTCTATTTTTACGCTTTTATTTAAAGTTTGCAATGATCCAGTTTTATTTCGGCTTTATTGTACACTCCATTATTGCACGCTTCGAATCTTTTATGAATCAAGAACTAATAAGTTAAAAAAACTTGTATGAGTAAGAATTAAACGGATCCATTTAAGTAGACTATGTTGTTTGAAGGATCCATTAAGAAGCAAGGACCTGCATTGATTAAGAGCACGCACAACTTTGACGAAACTATCGCACAACTGTTTAGTCGCGCAATGATTCCTATAAGTTTACCAGTATATGAAGGTATATGAAGGCACACTAGTCTTAGTCGCAGCCAACACAACTAAACACTTGTGTTGGCTGCGGACTATCGAACAACGTTGTGCGATCGCTTAACCAAAGGTGTCCGGCCGCTCTTATATTTTTATTTTAATGATCTAAACGTATTTCTGTTTATTTTTTTTTATTTCATAAATACTTACGGATCAGCAACTTACCCTCGATAAATCCTCTTTAAGCTTCCTCGGCAGTACTCCATTATTATTTTTAGTTACAGGAATATTTCAGCAACAAACAAATCAAATCTTAATTCTTACACTCATATTATAAATGCGAAAATTTAGATGGTTGTTTTTTTGAGTTTGTAGCCTAAGCTGCGGAACGGATTCCGATGAAATTTGGCATAGATGTAGAGGATATTCTGGAAGAACACTTAGGCTAGTTACTATTGTGTTTTAATGTAACGCGCTCGAATTTGCGGGCGAAAATTATTTGCATCTTACAAAGGCATTAAAAGTACTATATTTGTGGTAGCATAGTAAGGTAAACCTTATATTTCCCATTGATCCAGTGGTAACTAATACTCTAGTATACATTGTACTTGTATCACAGTTACTGGTTGATACATCGTCGGTCTTAACAATGGCGACGTACTATACCTGTTAAATACATTCAATGTTACATGAATTGTACTAACAATGTATCTAGAATGCGGCACCAGCAATGACAGCATTCAGTTTGTTATTGCCATTCAATATGTATAACGTATTTATCTGTATATATGTAAATATCTGCAATTGCCTTCTATAGAATCTTCTGCTGTTATCTTTGCTAAAGTTGGAAGAGATCTTGTTTGTTAATTGTTGTTCTTAGAGTTTTTTCTTACATGGACTTAATATGAAGCAGTCGAAATATGCATATGGGCTTTAATCTTTGTTTAAAAAGGATATATCAGAGTCTATGAAAGGATGTAGATGTGGGGTTAAAGAGGTTGATAGGTTTTCTTTTTTTACATTATTGTGATATTTTTTAAAACAAGATTAGTTTCAATTAGTTTTAGCATAGAGAGAAAATATAAACGACGACTAAAAGATGTTTTTGAAGAGATTGTAAATATAATAGAAAGAAGTGAGATTTCAAGATTTTTTTTATTTCCAAGGGTCACGCTTACACAGATATTGTTGAATACAAGAAGTGAAATTAAATAAAAAAAGACGTACGAATATTCCAGTTTATTAACTTATAATTACAAAGAAACTATTCACATGAAAATATTTACCTCTAAATTTTATGATATTAACATTTGAATAGATTTAGTTAGAAGATGTCTTACATCGTTTACTGGCTTAAATTATTTTTCAACTATTTTACATATTTACATTTATTTACAATACTGATATATCTAAGAAAACATTATGATATTAGATTTCTATGTCAGACTTTATATTTTGATTTAAAACATATGTATTTAGTCAACCAGTGACAGTAAATTATACGACTATTTATTACAAAGGTGTAAAGAATACTTATTGTATAAAAATTGCTTTACAAATCTAGTTATTGACATGATCGAGCATTTCTGGCAACGCATTGTAAGCCACCATGTTGCCAAAAGATCCCTGCGGCTCTTTCTTTGTTACTATAGCTACAATTTCTTCTTCAGGTGGCGGTGGAGGAAATTCAGGATTCGTATCAACTACCGAAGATATATCATCTACACTTATAACTAATTCCCTATTGTCAATTTCAATTCTATTACGTTCTATAATAGAAGTGCCTTCCATAATACTGTACAAGTTTTCTGATTTACCTTTATACATTTGTCAAGAACTCATATAAAATGGATCGTTTATGTTGACTTCATCGTTAACAGTGTTGTTCTTCTGCGACCATTCCTTCTGTTGATGTTTTATCCTGTATATGATTTCATCATGGATAACTCCAAAGCACATCGCAGTCAACGCTAATCCAGTCAGAGTGTACACAGAACAAAACCATAGTGTTGTGGAATTTATTGTGTAATATCTAACACCGTGAATTGTCGTATAGCTCATACCCGGTATTATGCTACCGAATCCAATAGTACTTAGCGCCATGAAACAAAAATAAAATCCGTCTATGATACTCATGTTATCTAGTTTGTAAAGAATAATTGCACCCAATGTGATGTAAATGAAGATAGCAGCGAGACATAATAAAACTGGCGCTAAAATGCTCAAACCGTGCATAGAAAGTTTTGAATCCGTATCAGGCCAACTTATAACATCATCTTTCGCAGTGCTTGTAGTCGGTCGCTCCGAACAAGAAGAATCTTTGTGACTATCACTTTTTAAGACATAACATTCTTCTGTTGGCGTTTTGCTCGTATTTTGACTGTTTAATATTTCTTCTTGTTGTCGCCGAAGCTTCATTCTTCTCTCCTTTTCAGCCATGCGCCGTTCATCGTAACAACAGTAGCCGCAATTTGAACACAAGCAGCAACATAATGCGCGACTAAAAACGCTTCGTGCCATTTTAGATAAAAGTGAACCAACACTTGAGAGATATAAGAGGGTGAGGGGAATCCCGATGATTGCATATAGAATTGTAGCTCCTTTACCAAGAATTGTCCTCGGCGCGATGTTACCATATCCTGAAAAAGAAAAGAGAAAATTACTAATTTTGACTAACATATTCCGTAAATACTGATTTTAATACTTGATCAATGATGTATCAAGTTTCCAACCCAACAACAACGGTAGGGTTAGCAGTAAGTAGACTTCGTTAAGCCTTATAAAAAACTTTTAGTACTGATATAATATCTTAAAATAGATCGTCGTTGAAGTTATTGTGGAACTTTAATGAGTTTATTTTGTTTGCATCCAGCGTTTAATTAAGAGATTTCAAAGCGAAATCAATGTTTTGTATTTGATTGGAATAATTATGCATATTTGTTATTAATACTAAATTAAAAAATAAAAATTAAACCATGATAAAAATCTTACCAATTGTGGTTAAAACGGTTAACGAGTAGAAAAAAGCTAGTGCCAAATTCCATTCATGTTCTTCGTAATGATTATTGCTGTCACTGGTGCCAAATTCTCCAAGAGCTAATTCTTTATAACTGACTCCATATTGAGTAGCCATTTCAGTTGTAACTCGTTGTATCAATTCATTTTGAAATTTCAATATCTCTTGAGCAGCTAATCGGGTCCAATTTTCTCTGTATAAAATATTCAATGAAACGGTGATCTCCCAAATGTTTTCTACTGTTTTACTTCTCGCGTCCCAAAAATAATTAGCAGAAACAGTAAGGTTGGTATAATCAAGATCATCTTCAACATATTTTTTATTAGTACTGTTGTGATCGTTTTGGCTGATCTTTTGTTTATCTGGTAATAACCGGGGACGAGCAGTTACATCTGTTTCGCCTTCAATCGTTAAAAATATAATTGATCCTAAGAAAGTGTACGCCAACAAAACAAAGAATATAACCATGTTGGTGAGAGATCCAATAATAAACTGTTTTCGTCTATACTTGGTGGTTTTAAAACAAAAGCAGCAAATAACTTTTTGGCGTGGAGTTTGTGCTCGTTTTTTGCTAGTTGATGCCATCGAATCCACGTCTTGGCATGTTTCCAGGAGGATCCCCCCATTAATAGCCGGTTTGGCTGGTGTATATTGTTCAAATCGGTTAATTGCTTCTTTGTCCAGTATGATATGATTAATGTCCATTTTCAGGCATATGTTACGTTTCTCGCTTCTTTGCCGCCATTATATCTTCTTAGAGTCAACCTGAAACAAGGGAAATCGACCATTAGCAAAGAAATATTTATCAAAATACAGTCCAAATGTAAAGAATAAGAATCGCTGAGAAAATATTTTGTTAAGACCTTTGAAATTATTTATCATAGAAATGAAAACTTTAGTTCTATAAAAGGATGTTTTTAATATTTTATCGTCGACGAGATATAAACGATTAAATACTTTTCTATCAAAATAATCTGCAAACTTCAAGCGAAATCAATCTATTAAGATTTCAGAGCGATTGAAGACGTCCGAACTGAATGAAGAATATACTTTAATACATTACAGTACTCGATCAGGACCATTAGGGACCTTTCCGATAATGATCCATTTAGATACTGGACGGACTTATCTCAAATAACTTTTTAGTGATTTCTTTTGTGGCATTTTCCAGATAAAGCATTGCTCGTCCACAAATTAATTAATCACTAACAAAGCCGTACCGTTCTACGTGTATAGAATCGCACAAAATGTACACAAAACCATGTCGCCTAACCGTATTTTCGCATACGTGTGTAATTAAAGATTTCTACATAACAGAAACACAAATACGTGTTTGTTGTAATTGCTTAAAATCATTTCTACAAATTTTATATGATAAAGAGTTGTTCTATAAACAATTCTACGCTTCAGACAGGCATTTGATGCTACCCTTTACGAGAAACGTGATATCCTGTTTTATTGTTTACTACCTTTCGCTCGTGACTCCGTCCGCGTGGAATTAAAAAAAAAGAAAAGTGAGTAGCCTATGTGTCCTTCAAGACTATGCTTTACATCTATACGAAATTTTATCGAAATTTGTTCAGCCGTTTAGGCCACAAACTCTAACAAACATCCATCCATCCACCCACCCATCTATCCATCTAAACTGTTTATAATATTAGTATGATGTTTATTATTTTGTGGCTATTTATTTTATATCTAAGCAAGGAAGTCAACAGTTAATGTTACAGTACAAACAAAGCAGACTTGTTAGCAATTCTCCGAATATTGCTTCTATTCTCGGCCGCTAGCCAAGTTTGGCATCCTCATATTGTACACATACAATGCAAAATTCGAAAACTTTATTAACATTTTTATTAATAAATTTAGCTGATTGATGGAAAATACCGATATAACATTAATATGTAGTGCTGCTGGACTTTGATTTCTTTAAATTACATCCTTACGAATGTTTTAACTAGACATTTAAAGGTTACCTTAAAACATCTACAATCAACCTATCGGACCTAAAATCAGCTTTAATTAGTTTCAGGGTAAAATTGTCTAAAGACACCATGCATTTTGGAGGAAAGACAGGATTAATTGAGATTTCATTAACTCCGGCCAGCCTCTAGTTCGAATTAACAGAGTTCCGAGATCACCAAAGGAACGCACTGAGACTCTCTGCACTGGACTTCTACACGACCCAGGGAAAACAGAACATACCTCGTGCCTTCGTAAACCACCGCAACTCGGGACCACACCTTGTTGCCGTCTTCCCGGGATCGTTTTGCTCGATCATTGATCCGACCCAGATTGCTGACGATTCCGAGAATATTAGGCCTACGTTGTTATTAACTTGTAACTTAAACATTAAACTTCAATACGTCGGAAATAGTCTCGTAAATTGTTTATAGTTTGTCACCGCACTTAGATCTTACGTCAAAATTGTTAAAGTGCTCCAGCACTTTGAATTGCTAACCGGTTAACTCTGCTGTCTATATTAGAAATTGTTTTTAATATACATATTAGAGGGATCTTTATTGATTGAATCTATCCATTATTAGCGAAAGAAAATATATCTCTTTAATCATTTTACCACTCTTGCAATATACTCGACTTACGACCAAAATCAGTTGACTGATTGAATATTCTGTTTCTCCAAAATTTACGTCTCCCCGTTAATATTGAATATAATCTCGGTCTGTTTTCATGGTTGTTCCATTTAACTTTATTGCTCCCTTTGGAAGCTTAATTAAGTGAATTTATTCGTATCTTTAAAATAAAGTGATGTCGGCTGTTTCAGCCTTGGCCTTACCCATTTGACAGCATATTAATTAACTTTAATGTTGCATCGTTCCACTTCAGGGCTTTTACAATTTATTAGATAAGTGTAATAGAATCTGTCATATTTTTCAGTCTACTCATTGGGTTGAAAGCTAGTGCTTTCTCCCACGACTATGTCCGCGGAATTAAATGAAACAAATTAAGTAGCCTATATTCTTACAGATTTTGCTCTACATCTCGACAAATTCTTTTGTTTTTTTTCTAAATTTCATTGGAATTAAATAATTCTAATATGTGTATTACCACGAATTTGAGCGTAAAATAGAGTACGAATTGTGGGGAAAATATTCAGAGGCGCCAGAAAGCCGGCGGAGGCTTGTCGGCCGGGATTAGCGGTGTTTGTCTAATGTAGGTAATGACGATCAGCCTACGCGGTGGAGGCTTTATTCACAGTACAGAAATAAACCTAGGATTAAATTAAAATATATTTTCGATACTGTTTTACTGATTAAGATTAATAAAGCATGTAAAAACACCATTTCATTGTTTAGATGACACGCTTTACTACTGCGATAATCATATCCATAAAATATCGATGAATATCTTAGGAGTCGCGGGCGAAAACTAGTATTAGCTATTAAAGTCTACTAGAAACGAACTGTCTTGAATGTCTATCTGTCTTGTTTGAAATGCACTGTCATATTTATACCAATATTATAAAGAGGAAAGATTTGTATTTTTGTATATATTGGAATAAGTCAAAAACTACGAGGCCGATTCCAAACTTTTTCCCAACCTAAGTTTTACTATCATTTAATTCCACGTGGATGAAGTCGCGAGAAACGGGTAGTATTTAACATTTAAGTAATTTAAATGAGTAAATATTGCACAAAAATAAACAAAAACGAACTTGGTGTATTAATAATAACTATTCTATAAATAATAAAACAAGTCTTATTTTGTCGTCTTATCAGAGCTGTTGGGAAAAATTGGGTCGGCATGAGTGTTATCATGGAATTAGGCGAGGGAGCTTTACGGTCGTCTGGCGTTGTACAATATCGCAAAACCTTAGTGTGGCGTTACTGATATGTTATGGATGCAATCTACGACTTCAACAGATGTATGGTTTTATAAATATTATAAGTTACTATTGGATATTGGGGCTTCCAAATACTGTGATGCATTTACACTATTCGACTGTAACAATTAAAGTAATTATTAGATCAGATCAGTTATAACTAAAGAAGTACTAAATTTAGTGCTAGCACCCTGGGAGAGATTTATACTTATGGATGCCATATTTTAGCACTTTTAAGAGACTGTCGTCGAAATGCTGAAACAAATCTTAAATGCTTCGATTTCAATCTGATGAACGTCAAATTATGTAAGGAATTTGGAGTTTATGCGTAGGTTTATCATTTAAGACGCGTTATATATTTAATTGACGTTTCAGTATTCGGCCGTGTGTGATTTGCAGACGTATCCTTTAGTTTTAGGGCACTGGGCCATTGAATAACAGCGCCATGTAAGGAGTCCTTATCACACATAGATTAGTTTATTTGACTTTATTAAATAACCAGTTTTCTACATTTTGTAATGGCTTAAACATGCAACCATTATGAGGCTTTTTCTTCCTCAAGTCTTAGTTATCGATCAAGTTTCAACCTTAACTAGCGTTGTAACAAGGTCTATTTTGCATTGTTCAATATTTTGTAAAGTTTAAGGATGTCGTTGTATCTGGAAGTGAACGTAAAGGGTAAATAAAAATGGGCTTGGCAAGGATTCGCGTCTCGAATTTCTATTACATTCGACTCTATCCGTAGATACAAAGGATGATATGTAAATAACTACAATCCGGATAGTTTTTGGTATATTCAAAATAAAATCGGTTATTGCTACTGACAATTGTAAGTAGACATTTCAGTACAGATCGGGTGTAGAATAAAATTGTAAAGAAACTAGCTGTTCGCGTACGGCTTCATCAGCATGAAACTATAAATTTATTGTTTACATTAGTCATATTATCAATCACAAATGTCAAAATGACATGACATGATGACAACCTTGCTTCCTTGATGTTGGCAGCAACTTATGGTCTATTTCCCACATTAGAGTTTTTATCCAAAATGTTTACCCCCTAAGTTTAATGGCGTTAAAATATAAAGCCTAAAGCGTGACGCAAGTGTATGGCTTTTATTAAAATATATGTTGTAATTGCTGACATCTTAGGCAACAAAGAAGTGTGTGTTTACGCTTTATTATAATAGTATAGATGATTTAAATTGATAAAAATGATGATTATGCGACTTATTAAATATGTTAAGATGTTTACAATAAAATCTTTCGTAAAAGATAGTATCAATTCAAAATAAGTCAAGAATTGGAAAGGAAAGTGTTTATAACATCGATTTGGATACATTACAAAGATAAATCTTCTGTGGGTTGCCTCCTCTGTCGATTGAAGGTAGGCAATGCTGGTGCATTGGAGTGCTTCAGACAATGTTTAAGGGCACATTTCGCTTCGCTATTTCGGCGAATTAACTGGTTGTTAGTTATGTACCTTTGATATTAAAAAAAAAAACAAAGTATAATTAAGTAACCAAAGATAGTGGAAATAAATGTGACGATTTTTAAAATTAGATACCTTTTATTTTCTTTATTTTTTATCACTGTTGTTATTTCATAACTTTTATGTTAATCTAGCTAATGCAAAAACTACTTTTATGCAGCGCGTTATGAATATAACATGAACTGGAGTACTTGCCCAAGTTTCGCGTAAGCATTGTCTTGAGACCGACTTACTATTGCCTTATTACACCAGCCGACTCTAATAATAAATTACCTACTATTTCTTTAATTTTAGCTTGCTTATCATACCATCTTCTTATAGATATATGCGACATTTTTTAAATATTAGCTGTTCCTGTGCGTCTTCATCCACATGAAATTATAAAAACTTTATTTTATTGTTTACATTTGTCAACTCCTCAATTGCAAAC